TGGCTCCCTTGGCACAGCTCACTCACCCACAGCACCACAGGCTGCAGAGATCCCAGGAGATCCGTTGTGCCTGCTGACCTCGGGGGTTTGAACCTTTTACAGAGCAGGTACTTGGAGAAGCCGATGGAAATCGCCCGCATCGTGGCTCGCTGCCTGTGGGGAGGATGTGCCCCGCCCCCCCGAGCGGGCTGCCACTGCCGCCCAGGTGAGTGGCTCGGGTGTCCCGGGGTGGCTGTTAGCTTTGTCCATCTGTCTCTCCTCTTGCCCCTGGTGTGGGACATGCCCTGTGCCTTGCTGTGCAGCCCTGGAGCTAATGCTGCCAGTGAGCAGCCAGCTGCACCAGCTTTTGTTAGGGAGGGGGCAAAGACCCTTCCTGCAAAACCTCCTCAGGCTGCAGAGGGAGCATCCCTGGGTCACTGCCCTGTTCTAATGCCATCCTTGTCCCCTCTGCAGCAAGGGGGACAGGCAACACATCCAACAGCTGCTGTAGTGACGGAGAAGCAGCAGATGCTGGAGCAGCATCTGCAGGATGTGAGGAAGAGGGTGCAGGTATGTGTGCTGCTTAGGCACCTTCTCCTTTCCTCACCCTGGTGACTGAGTGCTTTGAATAAATCCACATCTCTTGCCTTGCAGGATCTGGAGCAGAAGATGAAAGTGGTGGAGAATCTCCAGGATGACTTTGATTTTAACTACAAGACTTTGAAAAGCCAAGGAGGTAATGGATGCTCATTAGTGTCTGGCAAAGTGTGTTCCTGCAAGAAAAATTGCTGGAGGGTGTGTTCCAGCCCTCCTGGTGCCTCCTCTCCAAGCAAGGAGGGTGGCTTAGGCTCAGGGTATTTGCATGGCGATTGGAGAAACCTTGTCTCTTGTTTCTGCCACTGACTCTACCTCCAGGGGAGCTGAGCCAGCTCTGAACTGTGCAGAGAAATGGCACGTAGAGGTGATAGTGCTGCTGTGCATGCAGGAAAGCCAGCAAAGTGCTTGGTGGCTGTCTGAGATTGCAAAGGAGCAGACACCCTAGAAAGTAGCAACAGAAGCCTTTTGTTTGTGGGATGCTTGGAGGTGTCTGTGTGGTTGGCTGAAACTGTCACCTCTCTGCACAGACATGCAGGATCTGAATGGAAACAATCAGTCAGTGACCCGGCAGAAGATGCAGCAGCTGGAGCAGATGCTCACGGCGCTGGACCAAATGCGAAGGGTATGTCATGCTGCTGGGCCTCCAGGTCCTCTGGGGTGCAGTGATGCCCTTTTTCTGGGTGTGAGTTTGATGTTCCTGCATGG